TTTATAGGTTCACTCACATTCACACGTGATCGGTTTTCCGCTTAATTCTGTCACTATTTCCATTATCATGGTCTAAGGATTTAGCATACAAATAGCCTATTTTTTCTAAACAAATGATACAGCTAAGAAAAATATATTCCCAGCAGCAGTAATTAATAATACTGTTTAATTCAAACATGACATCATATTCACAACAAGAAAGAAAAACAGTACTTGAAATATTTTTTTAAGAATTTGAAGCCCACTTTAAAAGACAAAATGTTCACTTACAGGCAGCCATTTATCACAAATTATTATTGCAAAGAACTTGTCACATTTCATATCCATGTAGCTACATGCAGCAGCATTATAATAAAGAAATTGTTCTGTGTGCTACCCATTGCAAAAAGCCCCACCATGTAAGAACATGTCTTCACATAATTATATTAGCAGGTACCTCTGTAACTCTGTGCCAAGAATGTTGAGGTTTTTATGGTGTGATGGCATTTTAATCAGGTGCACACCAGATGCATGAAAAGCACTTGAGCATTTTGTTCAGTATAACTGCAATATTATCTCAGAAACAATAAATGTTGTGCTACTCTTCAGGCAAGGTTATGGTAAGTTAAAACAATCAAATATAAACTGAAAACTCACCTCCATTTTGCAAAGTTTAGCAACAGCTAAGTGTGTGGTATTTTACAGACATTTATAGGAAAACAATCCCCCAAGAGAACAGAAATCTACATTAAATACTATTTTATCAGTTTGAGATGGAAATATATATATATATATATTCCATCCTATTCCCACGGCATAAAAAAAAAACAAAACCAAACCAAACAACAAAACCCCAAACCCACAAACTATACTTAAAAACACTACTGATTCTTTCTTTCATAAAATAGAGCATTTAACAACACTCCATCCTGAAGTTCTATTACCAATTCAAATTAATTCACTACATCTTTACATGTTTATAAAAGAATATATGATGTTAACATAAAGCAGAGGTATTAACTGTATTTTTCATAGCCCTGTATTCCAGTAAATACAATACAGCCATTGCTAATAACAGGCCACAGGCTCTGTACTGAGATTGTAAGGTCTGAGGACTGAGGCTAGTCAGACTTTGTCTGAACTTGCTTGACCTGCCTGGAGATTTTAATTGCTTTATCTGTTACAGCAGCTATTTTAAGGACTCGGTGGCTATGTCTAATTTGTTCTTCTTACCTTTATACAGTAAAAACATAGCTTTATAGAGACAATAGAAACAAGAATTTCTTCCACGTAAAATAAAATATTTATGAATTTAAGATTTTGATGTAGAGAAATAAAGACCAGAGGCCATTTGGTGTAAAGACACAGCATACAGAGTAGAAGAGTACAGGCATTGGAAGTTAAGATACAGGACACAGGCTAACACTGGAGGACCAAGACTATAAACAACTCACCAGCAGTCAAAGAAATGCAGACACAGGAGATGGACAAAATGGTTTTATGGAGAGAGCAAAGAAAAAGTACCTAAAATACATCATATGTGCCATATACACTAAATTTGGATGCAACATAGGCTTGCAGATCAACAAAGAAAGAGGAAGGTGCAAACTGTGTTAAAAAAAACATGAATACTATACTCCTTCAGGTGAAGAAGTCAAGAATAATGGCAATTCACCCTACCATGCCTGCCTTGAACCTATCAATCTCAGGACTGAGAGGGACAATAGAAGACTAACAACAGAAAAAGGAGTAGATATTAGGTGTATAACTGCATTGAGACTTTTTGTACCATAGTATTCTTTATTTTTCCTTTTTTTTTTCTGTTCTCCAATCTATACAAATAATAAATAAATCTATAACTAGACTGTTAAGATTTCAGTATATAGTAAAAATAAATATGGGCTTTATGTATTAGGGGTTTCTCCTTTGTAGGCATAAAAAGATTTTGAGCATAACAGTTGTTTACAACTAGGTTAGGAAAATAATCTCTTGTTTTTTAGCTTCTTACTACATTATATTAAACACTCTAGGACTACCTCAATATTAATAAAATATATGAATGATAAATTCAGGAATTCCATTTTCAAGTCTCAAGTTTGTTAAAATCAGTTCCACATGTATGGATGCCTCATTACGAGCATTTTTCACACCTACAAATCGAGTGTACTTGATCTGAAAGCTAAATGACTGCAGTGGGGCTATTCATTCTTAATGTAAATCAATTACTGATATTCTTATTTCCCTGTGTTCTCCATAGCTTGTATATACCTGTTTTCAATTTTATATTTAATAATATGATAAGAATTACACTCTATAGCAGAAAATGATTCCCTGCTCTCTATAATAAGTAGAGAAGCTAAGAATTATGCACGTACCTTTAACTTTTTACTACTTCCCTTTGCTTCCTTTTCCTTTTAGCCTTTGTGACACTAACTGCAGACTAATTAACTTATTCTGTACCATTTCTTTCATTTGAAGTATAAGAAAATAATACATGCAACCTTTCAAGTTAAATGAACCCATGACTTCCTGACATGGTTTGGAGACAGCATTTCCACCAAAGCAAAAATTTTATAAATAAACATTAAAACTCTTTTTCATATAAAAATGTCACAAAGCTCTGAAACATACCAATTAAGAGTGGTTGGGGCTTTTTCTTTTTTTTGTTTAACTATGTCACTATGTTTCACTTAAAATTTTGAATGCTTTTTTGAGTTGAACCTCCCAGCCTTCCCCAAAAATTGCACTATGTTTAACATCACAGTGATCACAGTGTACAAACTGCAATCCTTCCAGATAAAATTAAACCAAAAGATGTGCTCCCAGCATGCAGCCATGTTATTCCAATTTCTAGTTATCATTCAGGCTGCTGACCAGACCAGTATTAGCCCAAGTAAATTACAAAATGAATGGCATACACATACTGTATGACATAATTTCCCCAGCATAAATTTACTGTCCTCCACACCTGATCCCTATATGCTGTATTAATTGCTAAACATATCCTTTTAGAACTCACACCTGATCAGTCATGACACCTAAAGATGCTGAACATCTTACATATATATACATATTATCAATTATTTTACTCAACACAAAAGAAATGCCTTAAGACTATGTTCACTCCCAAAACTTAATATTTATCTCTGTACTAAAAAGAGGGAAGAACAAGAAATATATCTACAAATATGAAATTATGTACAGTCTGTTTTAGCACTCCATTGTGATATGGGACATGGATTTTGTGCCACAAATATGCTGAAACTTCTGACAAATGTCTACATCCAAAATATTTCCTCTGTCTTTCTTTTCATACAGTTTTAATCCAATGGTACAGCTCAATTCAGGACAAAAGTCTTAGTTCTATTTCCCTACATAAAGTTCAACATATACATCAGGAGTTAAAAGCAATATCCAAAAAGGATTGGTAGCTCAAAGAGGATTTGCTACTCTGATTCCAAATTACAGCTCTGAAGAGTTCCACACAGTTTTGGCCTGTCCAGTCCTAGAGAAAACCATATTGAACAATATATTTTTGCAATTTCTTCCAAGAGTAGCCAGAGAAACATGCAAACTTCTTCTTGAAAAAGCCATTTTTCTATGTTTCTTTTCAGGTACCATACCTTGGTCAGACATATGCAATCTTAAGCTTCATTTACTGGACCATGATATTTACATACTAATATGCTAGCATTAGAGCTTCTGCAGAATGTGATACGTCTTCCTTATGAGATACATATACCCTAGCATTTGGCTTAACTTCCCTTCATTTCTTAAATTTATCATGATTATACCTTAAATTGGAAATTGAGGAGTTTCATTGACAGAAAGATGGACCAAAACTTTTCAGAACTATTTTACACTAGGAACCCAAATCTGAATTTATTTTATAATTTTTCAAATGAGAAAGATAATGAAAAAATTATGTCAAAAAGAAAAATAAAACAATATGAACAGTAACTACATGTGGTTTTCTAACTTAAAAAGCATTCATATTCAATAAAAATTTTTTAATCACTGGACAGAAATACTGGGAGATTAGATCCCTTACAGAAGGATAACACCTCAGTTTTTCTATTAATTTCTTGACAATATACCAAAAAGTGATAGTAAAATCCCTAGGACATCAAGAAAAATGTACCAAGTAACTTTTAAAATCTTCTTAAAATAATTACTGTCCCCAAAATACATCACGTCTTTAGTGCAAAACCACAAGTTTATCACCTAAGACATTTGCCACTCTGCATTTCAATTTTGTTACTGTATGCCAGTGGCTTGAATGATGTACAGACCAGTTTCTGTTCTGTTATTATGCTTTGTACCATGACTCCAGATAACTGCAAAAAGGAAAACCAACCCTAAGTCCTACCCCACCTTTTAAAGATGATGCTTAGAAAGCTATCTGATGCCAGGTCTTAAAAAGTAAAGCATTTCTCTTCATGACTGAGTCACTTCCAAACAAACCATGCTCATTACAAAGAGTCATGTTTTGCAATGCAATATTTTACAAACAGTTTTAAAATAATGTTCACTGACAATTGCAGAAGATCAATTTTTTATGATCTGCAGATTACTCTCAAAACTTTATCCTTTCTCTTCTGAGCCAATCTCACCTTGCAAGAAATCCCACCACAACTGCCTTGCAATATGCACTACAGTTTAACTGAATTTTTCCAGAGACAGTTCTTGAATGCAGATTTTCTGAATACAGGAGGAGGAAAATGTAAAGGTAAGTAATTTTAGGCTTCTTAAGTAACAAATTGTTTTTTGTATCAGGTAATAGTTATTATTTTAATTATACCTATTGTTTTTATTATTTCTTATTGGACAAGTTCTATTTATTATATTATTTTTAAATATTATTTGTATTTATACTATTTATTATTAAAGGCACTGAAACAATAACATACTTAAGCTTCTATGTTCAGTTGTATTATAGAATCTAATAATACTTCAATTAAATGAAATATATACAAGAAAAATCAGCTATCCAGGAATAAGGACCTCTTTGTTAATCTTGCCTGAAGGCTTCAACTATGATTTTTTCAGGTAAGTTAAGAGAAATAGAATTGAAAGCTCTGTTGAAGTCTTCAAAAGTCAAAAAACCCTTTTAAATCAAGTTCAAGCAAGAGACAAAACAAAAAAAGTAAATTAAGGTTTTTTTTTTTTAAATTACTCAATACAATTATGTTTGTATGTGAGCTAATCAACTTACATTTCTGAAATTATTATACACTCTTTAAGCTACTGCATTTGAAAAATATTTAGGATGTCTACATTATGGACAAACAGTCTAAGAAAGATTTTATACTGACAATTCCTTTTTGCCACTGTGATTCCTGGTCAAAAGTACTGTGTCTACAACATCTACAACCCTCTTGTTTAAGTTTTAGTTTTAAAATTAGACATTTTGAATTGAAATTTTCAGATTTTTAAAACATAAAAAAATACACAAAATTACATTTAAAGCATTATTTTCAATGACATCTTAGTTACTGTGAGCATTGTGTTTTAAAAATTTTCTTTCACATAAAATTTCTCCTTCAGTTTATTCCTGCTGCTGACTTAAGATCATGAATACTTTATATTACAGCAATATCAATTGATCAGTCACTTTAGTTATGAATTCACTTTCAGATCCAACTGGAAAATAAAATATCTCAACCAGGACTATTGCAGATTGTGTGCAGCATGATAGCAAGACAAACAAAAGCACAGTGTTTGAAACAGTTCAGTCCTTTGAATAACTCACTAAAAATAACACTTCAAAAGCTACTTTTAGTTCATAGCAGAAAGCTGAGTGGATGCTTATCCTATCATCCCAACATCTGATCTGCCATATGTTTCACTTTCCCTCTTTTCAAGGACCTTAGTCCTATCTCAGGTTAGGAAGGAAAAAAGCAAAGGATCATTTGAATCTCCATCACCTCAGAGGCTCCTGATGAAGTTCTCTTTTTTTTTCAGTTTGTTGATGGGAGATCCTCTGCTGTCCAGCAGGAATGTAAAAGAATATTACCACATCTAATTCCCAACAAGAACAAGAAAATAATCCTTGTTGTTTTGGTTTCCCTTTTTTGGTCTATGAGAAGTAAAAAAAGATCTAGAGTCATCACCAGGGTCAGAAATCCATAAAATATGTGGCATAAATACGTGAGTGGAGATATAGGAGCACGAGTAACAGAGACATAATGAGAGGCAGTAACAGCAAGTAGGTAGGGTGAATGGCTAGAGATTTCTTTTAACAGCTGGTGGAGCTCATAGTGCAACAGACAATCCAGAGATACCACCTACAATGCCACAGCCTACTGACCTTGACTTTATTTGTAATAGTATCATCACAATGTTTGTTAGTCCAGTACTGTTGCTCTTTGCAGCATCCAGGACATCTCATCTTAATTTCTTTTTATTTCCTTCAGGTGTTCTGTTTTGCTTAATTGTTTTAGAATTAAATTAATATTCCTATTATTTAGAAGAAAGAAATGTATCTTGCACATCAAAAGCTGTAAATGTTTGCCTTGTTTCATTACTGTGTAACTGTGCAGTCTTCTTTGCACTCGTGAGATTTAAAAAGTTTTCAAATAATAGACCTAGTAAAATGTAAAATATGAAAACTCTGCAAAAAAAGTCAGTTCTTTCACCTCAAAAATATGTATGATTGTGATCTACTAATTATGAATACTTTTAATTATATAAATAAACACAAAAATAAAACTAAAAAGATAGTCTTCAAAGTTAGATCGTGGCCATACAAGCATTTCAATATAGTTTTTCTCACACGTTTTCTATACTTGAGTATAATGCTTCTGTTTACTTTCGTTTTTTTTCTTCTTGTTACCTGCCATCTCATGTTTCTTTGCACTGGAGAGAAACATGGACTTTTCTAAGTCAACAGCATTTGCATGCCATGGATAAAGATCCAGGCTGCATAAACAATCTATCTGGCATCACTCCCTGCAGTGAGAGAACTCTGAAATAATCTATAACTTCAGATATACATTCCTATGAAATTGATAATAAAATTTAATGTAAAACTAGATTGGTTATTCCTCCTGTATACTGTATTAAAGTTTTTACTTGTACATTTCTCTTATCCTTTTAACGAACTGAAAATGAAAGAAACTGAAATACAAACCTAGTTTGCAATTTCTTAATTGACCTTTTATTCTAAAATCAAAGTGAAACATTAACCATTAAGAAATAAAAATCTGCCCCCCAAGAGGTCAGGCCTCCCCATGAAACATGCAAAAATAGTGATATAAAAATTTTGCAGATTTTTTGGCAAAATATATCCCACTTCATCTCAATATTTAAACAAAAAGAAATGCTCTTTTCTCATAACCTACAATATGCTACTTTTAAACAATTTTGTTTTCCTTAGAAAGCAACATGACTGTATCCTGCAGGAATTTTTCTTTATCAAATAACATAACATAAGCTCTGCACTTACTTCTTTTCATTCATTCATATCCTATTCTTTCTGCAGTGGTTCAAATGCATAGCTCCTTCAGCTCCCTCTGCTGCCTCAATTCAAACCTTAAACTCCACCCTTAAGGATTTTGGGTATTTCCTTCCTTATTTCTTCTTGAAAGATCATGTATTAAGATCTGTTACAGTCTCTGTTTCCAGGATTACGGAGTCTTGCTGCTTTCAACTGCTAGGTTTGCTACGTGCACAATTTCTTTAATAACAGATGTTGCCTAAATATACTGAACTTACCTGCATGAACAGTTTTCCATTCAATTGGATAACTATGGAAGTGAAACCATAAAAACCAGTATGAGGTTTCCACTTATTTTTTTTCTCTTTCAGAGTAACATACGAGCTCAGAAAATTATAGCACACAATTTTCCTTTTATAGAATGACTCCTATAATAGAGTGCCGCCTATTCATTGATTTTGAGAGTTGGCAATTTATGTGCTACTAGAACAGGCTGTAAAGCTATCTTGACACATAAAAAGGTCATCCTAAAAAATATTCAAGCCATAATCTATCCTCATATCTTAGGTCACTGGGTTTTTTTTTGTTCAGGCATTCACATGTGGTTGCTCTCTGAAAAAAAAAAAACCTGAGTAAAATCTTTATCCTGAATTTGTTGCCTAAATTAAAGATTTACAAGTAATGGTATGGTTTAATGAACATGGGTTTTGGCATCAGTGCCAGAATAAAGAGAACTGACCTCCACAAGGCCCTTCAAATGTATTGATACAAATACTTGTGGGGCCATATGGCAAAAGGGATGAAGGAACTTATTGATAAAAGCAACCATATTTTTTTGCCACTTCATTTTTTATATGAATCATTTCTCCAATAAGACTTGCCACATGACCCCACAAACAGATGTATGGGCATAAGTGATAAGGTAAAGAACATTAAAAACCAAGCAGAACTGTATAAATGGAAGAATTGTTACATGAGATATTTATTGAACTGTGGTGTAAGACTCCAGTATTTACTCAAGTAAACTGGGCACAGTATCAAGAAACTGTTAGAACCTTTTTCATCACTTAACCAACTCGAACACTAAAAATGACATAACTTTTCTCTATCAGTAATCTATACTATGTTGCAATTAAAAACTGCTACTTGGAGAAGCAAGAATAAGCTCAGGTTAAATGTAACACAGAAGCACTAAAAATATTACAAAACTAAATGAAATCATATGACCCTTTTTCATATCCATGGTCAGCTCATTTATAGAACCCTAGAATCATTTAGGTTGAAAAAGAACATTAAGATCATGGAGTCCAACTTTAAACTTATCACTGCCAAGTCCACCACTAAACCATGTCCCCATAGGCCACATCTACACCACTTTTAAAAACCTCCAGGGATAGTGACTCTACCACTTCCCTGGACAGTGTGCTCCAATGCTAGACAAACTCTTCAGTGAGTAAGTTTTTCCTACTACCCGGTCTAAACCTTCCCTGGTACTACTTGAGTCTGTTTTCTCTTGTCCCATCACTTGTTACCTGGGAGAGAAGACTGACACACACCTTGATGCCACCTCCTTTCAGGAAGTTGTAGAGAGCAATAAGGTTTCCCACCAGCCTCCTTTTCTCCAGGCTAAACAACACCAGTTCCCTCAGCCACTCCTTAGAAAACTTGTTCTCTAAACCCTTCACCAGCTTTGCTGCCCTTCTCTGAACCCGCTCCAGCACCTCAATCTCTCTCTTGCAGTGAACCGAACACAGTATTTGTGGTGCAGCCTCAACAGCGCTAAGTACAGGGCGATGATCACTTCCCTGGCCCTCCTGGGCACACTATTTCTGATACAGGCCAGGATGCTGCTGTCCTTCTTGGCCATCTGGGCACAAGCTGGCTCACATTTAGACAGCTCTTGACCAACACCCCCCCAGGTCCTTTTCCACAGAGCAGTTTTCCAGCCAGTCTTCCCCTGCCTGTAGAATAGCATGGGGTTGCTGTGACCCCAGTGCAGGACTCAGCACTGAGCCTTGTTGAACCTCATATCACTGCATAGATTATTATTAATGTACATCCAGTTCTTCAAAACTCTTGGGAGTCTAGGCTTCAGATTTTTTAAATTTTTATGAAAAGGTGTAGGAGATATTACTGAATGTAACTGTTGGAACAAGTCCAGAGGAGGGCCACGAGGATGATCAGGGGACTGGAGCACCTCCTGCATGAAGACAGGCTGAGAAAGTTGGGGCTGCTCAGCCTGGAGAAGAGAAGGCTGCGTGGAGACCTCATAGCAGCCTTCCAGTATCTGAAGGGGGCCTATAGGGATGCTGAGGAGGGACTCTTCATTAGGGACTGTAGTAACAGGACAAGGGGTAACGGGTTAAAATGGAAACAGGGGAAGTTTAGATTGGATATAAGGAGGAAGTTCTTTCCTGTTAGGGTGGTGAGGCACTGGAATGGGCTGCCCAGGGAGGTTGTGAATGCTCCATCCCTGGCAGTGTTCAAGACCAGGTTGGACGAGGCCTTGGGTGATATGGTTTAGTGTGAGGTGTCCCTGCCCATGGCAGGGGGGTTGGAACTAGATGATCTTAAGGTCCTTTCCAACCCTATTCTATGATTCTATGAATCCATCTCCACCTGGAACACAGAAGATATACCACAGATGTTTTCCGCAGAAGTGGTAAATCTAAGCTCCTGCACAGTTTCCATTTTATAGCAATAGTATGTGATTTCACTACTCATAATAATATGATATTCTCATAATAATACATACTACACAACAGTATCATCTATAGCATTTAAGTAAGGAACTATTTTATTCTAATTAAAATAAAACCAACTCTTTTTCATTCAGTAAGCTCAGTATATATATAGTCCTAATAGAATCCTAAGCAATATCAAAATCCTAAACAAACATGCTTAAACAAACATGATTAACTCTATATAGATTGGAGGTCAACTACACACAAAAGAACAGTAATATTCAAAATTAATTGCTGGAGCACCAGCCCCCAGATTTGTTATTTCCTTTAAACAACAAAAGAACTTTCAATATTTGTATTGGAGACCAACTACTTCTTAAAGCCTAGTTTGATCAAAATTTGTTTGGTAAACCTGTCTAAAATAAAAACTTTAATAAAAAAAAGTAGAGAATAAAAAATTAGAAGGAAATGCAAAAATCTGTTTGCATCATACAGCTCCTGCAGCTATCCTGAAACCAACCCATTACAGCCTCACTTCATCTACTATGTATCTCCTTTACTGTATTTCCATTGGATCTTGCCTCACAATTTTATCTGATAGGAACACAGGAGTGACACATGTTGATTAGCATGTTACCAAGATTCACAAATAACCACTAATACTAGTGTGTTACTAAGTTTCATTAATAGTAGAAAAGCAAAAAGCTAAATGACATGATGAAAACAGAAACTGAATTAGGAGGTGGCCAAGAGATCACTGGAAACATTTGAACAATGCCAGGAACAGAAAGGGAGCATAGAGCTAAGAAAGGAGAGGTCCACTTTGGGTTACATTTGTACTGCTTGTTAGCATGATGGACTGCTCATGAGTCCAAACTCTTGCATTTATATTATTAGAATACAAAACTGCACACAGTTGCAGCCCTGGGACAACTCGCATGAGAGGAGACCACACATCAGCAGCTTCTAGAGCAACCTATGGACACTCTGTTCTGGAGAACAGACAAGCCAAACATGCCATGACCAGATAACTGAAGACTGCATGTTCCATTTGGCCTGCAACACTTTCCACATAGACTGCATCACACATACAAACAGACTAGGAAGTCCTTTTCAGAAAGCTTTGATAGGAAGAGCCAGAAGAGCAGCGGCAAGTTGTAAGCAGCCCTGAGCTCAGACTGCTCTTCTGTACTCTGGATGCTGTTGGCATCTTGTTCAGCAATAGATGCCAACCTACCAGTGTCCTGATATGAAGGTACAGAGTTGGGTCAGGGAAAACACTGGACGTTTTGAGGAGCTTGGCCTCCTAGGCACCGTGCAGAGAGTATTTTTAGTTAGATCTAAATGCAATGGTACCAGGAATGAAACTTCAGCTGGGGAAATGACATATTCTAATGACTGCTATTCCCGCAGTACCCTTTTCATCACAAACATTTAAAACTTGAATGCGCTAGCTGAACGGCTGTTGAAACATGAGATCATTTTAGATCAGTTCAAATAATTTTGGGGAAAAGAGGATCACTGAACCAAATTTCCAGAGGAAAAGAATGTTAGCCCCACAGACACAATTCCCAAAATGCTGCTAGCTCCAAGAAATTATTATTTTTATATGCTAATAAATAAATATACATACAGTATCAGTTCAACAATCTGCTTGGTCTCTATTTTCATGTTTTCCCAGCTACTTGTCTCAGAAGATTTAATTTTAAACAGTAGTAAGTTCAGAATCTCTCTGAATAACCACATAAAAGTAATATTTTAGAAAAAATAAAATCGAATTGTTATAACAAATTATTTTGAAAAAGCAAGTGGAGTAGGGAAGTGCTCAAATACTCAGGTCCCACCCTCTCCAGTAAAGAGTTCGTCAGTGACATCTAGTGGGTAAACTTAGTATTACCTTTACTTGAGAGAATAAATGAAAGCATGCCCCCCCCCCCAAAAGATACAGCAACAATTAACTACACATGCTTGATTGCAGTTGATGATGCTAAATAATTGTTGTTTTTACTGAAAAAAAAGTTAGTATATAGAGGAGTTGAGGAAACTTAAGTAATGTGTGCACACCATTCCCTATTTCTGAGAAAAGCTCTTGAAAATAGTCTCCTTGCCATGGTTGTTCTAGTGACTTCAAAGAAATACAAGAGCGTTTACTATAGTCTCGAATTTTAATAATCTTGGCAAAATAAAATGCCTAATAACGTACTTAAGAACCTCATGCTAACAATCAGCTTTTAGGAGTGTAACTTCTGCATCTGGTTCCTGCCTGGTGCACAAAAAGTTGTGTTTCTCAGGACTAGATTAAAAACTACCCAGACATTGAAAGGAACACTTAAAAGGCCTAGCCATCAGAAAAAAAAAAAAAAAAAAAAAAAAGGAGGCATGGCTGTGCCATAAACCACAGTTAGTTAAAGGTATGAGGAAAAGTATCTGTCTACGAAGGGATGTTCACAAAGAGTAGTCATTGGGCAAAGAGCAACAGCTGCTGGAATTAGGTCCACTTAAGGAGCTAGCAAAACCTAGTCACAGAATCAGTCCTGGAACAAACCTTTTTAATTAAATTTTGTGCAGCTGCACAGAAAAGATGGTCCACAGCCAGGTGGTCACAGCACTGCCTAGAGACATAGAAGGTGTGACTTGGCACATTTTCAGAAAGAAATAACTAAACCTGTACCTCCTTTCTTCCCAGAAGTCCTCCACTTCAATTCTCTTTCCAAAAAGAGCCATCAGTGACTTATGCACAGAACCTGCTCTTGTTTGAATGCCTTAAGCATGTCTTGAGTACTCCTACTGGAAGAAACATTCAGGGAATTTAACAGAACAGCTGGGTTTTTTTTTTTCATGAAGGTAAAAATAGACAGGAGAAGATAGATAAGGGGAAGCTGAGCATTTTTCAGATTCATAATTCAGCAGTTAAGAATCATTTCAGAAGTCTAAATTATTTTTAGACCTGGTGCCAGTTCATTGAGAAAATGTTTACTCACAGCTGAAGTGGATCAGAGATGACTACTTTCACATTTTAATAAAACATTTCTGTGGCTTTTACTTTAAATGATCATAGACAAAATTTTGTTTGTGACCTTGTTAAGACTATTTTCCTAAAATAAGGATTTAAGTAAAAAAAAGAAAATAAAAAAGGTAGTCATAAGTGGTCTTTGGGGAAGGAGATTGCTCAAACTGGAGAAGATGAATAATAATTTCGATGCTAAATATACTTTTTAGTAAGTTGGTCAAGCCTGTAAGCTTGTGTTGACATGCCATGAGAAAGTCAAACTTGGATCGAGCTGTATTTACTCTGAAATCTTTCATGTTCTTCATACTCCATCACTTGGAGTACTAGAGTAGAAATGCAACTTCCAGAATTACATGAAGCCATACAATTTATCCTGTATATTCTTGTGAGTATGCAACATATTATTTCTCTCAACAAACCCTTTTTTTACATACAGCTATAAATTTTTATTAGAGAATTAAAGACTAAAAATGCCCAACTGTTACTTGAAACCAAAAATGCCTAAATTTTTGAGAACAAATGTTTAATATTAGAACATGCAGTAGTTTCAAATCTCCTGACACCACTGAGTAAATAAATGGCATGTACCACTAACAGAAACCAAGAACTGATCAATAACAAGCTCAGTCAGTCACTTATTTTGTATATCTTGTATAAAATACATTATGAAATACATCACATATGAAATACAATGCATCCTTCTGCTCATCACAGCAAAGGTAGGGGTTTATTATCTTTTGAAATAAATAACTCCAGGAATCTGCAGTTATTTCTGTTCGCCAAACCTACAGTAATCCACTCCAATTAGTGTGGACCAGTCAGTACACAGAGTTCATGACAGTAAGATATCTATATAAGCTGGATCTTGAGAACATAAATGAAAAAATGTGTACACCTTTAAGTGTTTATAACCAAAAATTACTACAATACCTTTCAAGTACTCTCTGATTAAACAGCCTTTGTTATCTTTGTCACATGCTTGAAAAACCTACAGAAAGAAAGAGAGTTGCATTAAAAAACAGTAAATTCAACCAAATGCTGTTTTACTTTGAATAACTGCACATTTACTTTGAATAATTGAAAAACTAAAACAGGCACTTGCTGAATAAACCATACTAGTTAAAAAAAAACTACTGAAGATTAGTTGCATCTCTGTCAGAACTCCGTACATCTACTCTGTTGTAGTACTGAATATAGTCTGAGTCCATTTAATTTTAATTTTTAAATGTTTAAGTTAAAATAAAATTTTCCTACTTCTACATTTTATGCTTATTATGAGAAAGCTTTTTGCAGACTTAGAATATATGGTACAGATTTCTAAAAGAAAATTTACTTTAAATTTGTTTCTGCAAGGCATGTTTAATTCTCAGTTAAGTCTCTACATAGACAGGACCCGTGAGACTGGAATGTAAACGTAGTCAGAAGCCATTAAATTTTCTGAAGTACTATTAGAAAACAAAGTGTTTCTAGAGTCTGTATTAGACAAGAGATTATGCACATACAAAACGTTCCTAAAAGGTTTTCCCACAGAAAACCTTCAGCAACGGTTGTAATAAAACATTTAATCTTGTAGTCCCAAAGACTTTATCTACAGATTGTTTCAGGAAGAAGCATTAAGAGCAACTTTGCAAAAAGAACTAATACAATTCCACAAAAAAGCGTAAATTTCATGGATGTGTTCCTTGGTGTAGCTTGCCCATTTTATTGCATACTGATATAAGACATTATTTGTTAACTGCAGTCACGGGGTTGTAATAAATTATAGTAATGAGAAGCAAATGCTAAAACAGTTAATTTTGGTGGGTAGAGCAAGCTTTGATGCACTTCATGTTCTTGCTTGGATTAATTTTACACCTGTTTTCCTCCCACTTCCTTCTTGAGGTCACCACACAGTTATCTCATTAGAGGGACACTTCAGACACAGTAATTAACACCGAGCTGAATGACCAATTATGCAGATACTGCACCTGCCCTAAACTAATATTACGGTCAAATATCAATTTATTAGATTAATTCAGGTCACTAACAGATGACTGTTTTGCCGGCGTAGCAGCATTGAGAAAGATACCACCACCGTCTGAGCGACACCCGACACCCACTGACCCGTGGACGACCGGAAGAGCCCTTCAGGCCCCACGGGGCGGACCCGCCGCCCCTCAGGCCCCTCACCGGCTCCCCTACGGTAAGCGGAGGGGCGCCGCAGTCCTCCTCCGGCTCTGGCCGCGGCCGCGTCAAGCCCGCGCTGCCTAGCAACCCGCGCGCCGCCGCTAACTCCCACGCTCAGCGCGGGCGGCGATTGGCTAAAATCGAACGCGCGCCATTGGCTCGGGAGGAGGAGAGGGGTGGGGCTTCGCGGGGTGAAGGCGGGAGTCGGCCTCTTCACCTCCTTTCCGGGTTTGGAGCGGGCTGGAGGCGGCTCGGGTAGGAGGTGAGGTGGGGACCGCCCGGTGGTGTGGGCAGGGCTGGGCACTGGCGGTTCAGCCGAGCCTCGGGGCTCGCCAAGTCGCTGCTGCGGGGCGGAAGCGGCCCTTGGTGCTGTGGCTAGAGTGCTGGCTCGCTTTCCCTCAGCCGGTGGCGGCCGCCGGCGGGTAGGGCGGTGTCAGCTGCTGGTCTCGCTGCTCTTCTTGACTGCAGGTTCTGACTTTGTGGGGCGGTGTTGAGGCCGGTGAGAGCAGTGGTCCCGTCCATACGGCACTCGGCGTTCGGGGCGACGGTGCCCGGGCCGCTTACGTCTTCGGAGCAAGGGAGAGGCGCGGCGGAGGGCCTTGTGGGGGGCTGCGGGCCCAGACTGCTGTCCCGCAGGGGTAGCCGGAAAGAGCGACCCTAACTCGGGCTCTTGTGTCTCTTCAGCAGAGCGCGCTGGACCGACCGCCCCCTCCCCCCCGTCCCGAGCGTTAGGGTCGGTGTGAGAAATACCTGCATCATGCAGATTGCACTTTCGAAATGCTTTCCTGTACGTGCCCCTTTCCAGCCCATTTTCCATATGCGGGTTTCTGCATTAGCTGCTTCCCACTTGATGAGTGCTTCCACTGCACATGTTTCTTTGTTTCCTGTGCATAAGTAAGGAACAAATAAACCTTGTACACTGTAAGTTTACCGAGTCAGAAGTTACATGGAGATTCTGCCATATACAAAAAGCACAGTTCCTCAGTAATAAGTGAAACAGACCTGAGCATAGCAAAACCACACAATTTTTGTTTGATGGTGGTGTTGTTTTTTTTTTTTTAATCCCTAGGAACATGCTTCAGGAAGGTGCACATGGAAAATGGACAGTATCTAGCAGTGATGAAAGTCCTGAGGAAAATTCTGACAGTGAAAAGCCATCTACATCTTCAGTATTGGATGCTGCATGTGACACAAGTGTGCCACAGTATCCATGCTCTGAAGCAAGAAAAGCTGCTCAAAAGAGAAAAACTTCTCCCCTGAAGTTCAGTGATAAAAGGTTTTCTGCAGAAGCACCTCCAGCAGGAAAACAGAGAGCTAGCCAAGAAGGCTCAGGCTGGTGTCTTTCTAGTAGTGATGAAGAGCCTGAAGATCAGGAAAAGCATGCCCACAAAGGAACAGTGAAAGAAGAAAAAACTGATGCACCAAAACATCCTCTGAAACTTTGCAAAGATGATGAACTCTCAGAGAATCAGAAAGCAGAGGAGTATTATGAAGCACCCAGTGAAACCCAAGATACCTGGGATTTGTTGAATGGAGGGAACCCTTTCAGGTTTTTTCTCACTAAAGTCAGAGGAATTCATCAGAGTTATAATTATGGAGCCCTGCATATAAAAGGTGAACAAATGAATTCTACAGAAGTGGGCTTTTGGGAGACTTGTTTGCAAGCAAATGTTTTTTTTACTTTAAGGGTATTTTTAAATGCATATATTCCTTGGTGTGGCAGAGGCTCTGTATCCTTAATGTCCAAGTTATAGAAATTGGTTGTTATCTTTGCCTTTCTTTTAGAAGTAGTGTATAAAGCATTAATTTGCTTATGCTGATTTTGTTGTAACTTCTGAGTTGCACTGCACAAATCTACAGTTGCACTGCATTTACTCAAGGCAAATAATACGGTGCTGCTTATTGCTGCTTTCCCTGTGAGCTACTCCGGGAAAAACTGCTTGCCTTTGTGGGTCTAAAAGGGGTGGTTTTCTTCGATGCCTAACTGTTGTCCCTGAGGAGTTGTTTGCACTTGCCTTCAAGCTGCTTAAGGGTTTGGACTTATTAATTTACTATTACTTGATGCCAAAAAAAGTAGTATTTCAGAAGTCCTGCCCTTGTGACGCATGGGGCCATTTCAATTCAATTAGGAGTGTAAGTCATGATGAAGTCTTTGGTGTACAATATTGATGTTTCCAGAATGCCGTGCAGTTGTAGCTTGATGTAAGGGGCAGCAGCTCTGTGCACCTGTAAACATCCCCTCATTCAGAAATGAAATGCCATACATCACAAGACAGAATCAGAAACAGGCATTCATAAGAGGTTTATGCGCAGAAATACAGTAAAATGAGGCAGAAAAATTTTCTAGTCCTTTGAAGGACAATGACTGAATGAAGACCTGTACAATTAGGTTGTAGCTTTTCCTCAAGATCATGTGCTCCCTATGAAGGTTGATTGATTGCATCCTGATGTCAGAGATCTCAGTTGCTTTGCTGCTGTATGTCTATCTGCTTTGGGAATATATTGTGGCTTTGTTTAACCTGCAAAACCAGATTTCTGTAGATACAGGGCATGAAGTAGTTTGTCTGTCCCATAAGGTGTTTGTAGGTGATGTTTTCAGGTTGCTGCTGTGCTTCAGTTGTTGAGGTTATAAATCCTCAGTCAGATTAGCTTTGTGTTACCGTGGGTGAGCTAAGGGTACACATGTCCTACAATCAGTCTGCGACAAGTAAGTCTTTAAGCATTAACTGTGCTGTTACTGCTTTTATGCACTTCAAGCTATCTCTGTAGGGAAGAGAATAGTTTGATGTTCCTTTCTCCATATGATCTTGGTCTTTCTCCTAATGAGTTTTTAAAGTTTGTTTCATACTTTTGAGAGGGTTAATGCTTTTTATAAACAGAAAACCATAAAGGTTTTCACAGGAGAATCAGTGACTTGAATATTCCAAGCAATAAACTTAATTGTGAATGTCTCTGTTAAGACTTCACCTAGTCTTTCAACAATCTGGCACTTGTGATGCAAAACTGTTCAAAATGCAAAATGTTTACTTGAACCTTTTCATTTTACTGAATTGTATTTTGATATTTTTAATAGATATCTTGTCTCCTCTTTTTGGGACTCTGGTTTCTTCTGCTCAGGTGAGTTTACTGATTGCCAGATTGATTTCACTAGCTGATTTCACTTTTTTGACAATAAGCTTGATAATCCATGTTTGTGCTTTGTAGTTATTAGCAAGGAACCTCATTTAAAATAGAGAGGAAATTCTGTGTTTTCAACTGTACAACAATTTATTGAAATACAAAAATCATCCCATGCTCTGCACAGAATTCAGACAATTGTAAGAGTGCTTTCTCTCCAGATTTTGGGGAATGTGCAACTGAAAATGTGTATTTATGTGCAGGTGAATGGATTTTTTTGTTTGTTTGTTGTTGTTTGTTTGTTTGGGTTTTTTTTTGTTTTTTAAAACCTTGCAATCTAGGAATATTTTTGTTATTTTATAGCAGGTTTTGCTATCATTCATGGAATAAGCACATGGCAAAGGGATGGTTCTTGATCCAAAGCTTTTGCATTATGTGCGACTTTTTTTCTCTGCATGCTAAATTTTATGAACACTAATACTTAAATTCATTCTTGAATTGAGATATGGAAGAAAGCATGGGAAATTAAAATGATTTTAGAACATGCTGTGAATGATGTAAGTGGTATTGACTGACTTTTAAGTAGGGAGGTTTTTTGCTATAGTTAATTGTTCTGACAAACTATGCTTTTTCTTTGTAATGAATCTGTTTTCTTTTCCTTGTGAACAAGTTTAACTACTGCATAGATGTGGCCTGGCTTGTGAGACAGTATCCGCAGGAATTCAGGTATGTTTATTTTATGAAGATGGAATGATACTTTCCAAAACAGTGTTAATGTAGTATGTTCATCATAAGTGAATGATAAATACTCGTTTGCAGTTGCAAATTGTGTATGTGTAGACTCTTTGTTTTCCTTGTGTGCTTATTTCATGGTCACAGTTCTCTAATAGGTTTCTTGCCTTTTTTCAAGCTGTTAAATGGTCAGAGTTCACTATGGCTGGCTTCTGATTTTTAATTAACACTTAGGAGGCCTTATTGTGGGCTACAATGGCAGTGCTGTAGATTACCTATAAAGACAGAGCAAGCAGCTTTTTGCTATACACTTTACTGAGCCAAGAGCAAGGTAATGCAAGAGAAGGGAGAGAATGTAGAAGGAGCACAAGAAAGCTATGCAGAAGTGATCAGGATGATGTCATGGGCAGGTATGGTTGGAGTTCCCAGATATTGGTCATGAAAGCAATTATGTTTGCTTTCTGACACTTGGAACCTGCAGCAGATGAAGTGAGTGTATGACATACGGTTTTCTCTCTTTTACTCGCATTTTACTAGAAATGCGGTAGAACCGGACTATTAGGAAGTGACCATGCCAGAAGAGACTTAGCCCCCTCCTTTTCCCTCCCATTCTTCCCATTTTCTCTGTAAGGTAACAGTGATTAAATTGTTCTAGTTACACATTGTGTATATCAGTATTTCCAAGAGTTTTATTTGCCTGTTTCCAGTTACACACTTGAGGCTTTTTTTGTCATCCCGTCCATTCACCAAGTTTTCTAGTGTCTTTCTCTTAGAGGTTCTATTGTAGTTACTGCTTCTTGAGTTAATAAAGCACATAGGTGTTTGTGTGTTTTTTTTGGGGGGGGGGGTGTGTGTTTTTTTTGTTGTTGTTTTTTGTTTTTTTTTCCTTCCGGCTGTGCTATCAGATTTAGAGGCCAGAAGTCATAGCTACATGGAGTGGTTTAGGCTGCTTACTAATTGACAAGTTAACAGTAATCTCCTTTTATTTAAGGAAGAAGCCATTATTGATAGTTCATGGTGAAAAGAGAGAATCTAAAGCTGAATTGCTTGCACAAGCACGCCCTTATGAGAACATCAGCTTTTGTCAGGTAATAGTAGTATTGTCCTTTCATTGAAATTAAGCCTTCTATTGCACTTAAAATCTTGTAATGGATGAAGAGGCACACACCTTATATGGGAAATCAAGAACTTATTGTTATGCTTTAAGGAGTATACTTACTAGTACCATGGGAGCATGGTAGCTATGTTTCTGGTGTTATATGATTATGGTAGACTGTCACCCACAGAAGGCTTACACAGAACAGCT